GTGTATCGAATTTGTTGATGGTAGTCGAGATATTGTTGTTATCATTATTGGTGGACATTTTGGCAAGTATGCTTTTCCAAGAAATAATCTAGTTGTCTCCAGGACAAGTTGATTTTTCTTTTTCGCTTGCCTTATCAGTTTTTTAGTTCAAATGTTGTGCCAACAATTGAACTATAATGAGATTATGTTCGTTTTTATATTTTTTGATCTGACCTGAAACCAATGATCCACCATGCAGGTGAGGTTTGAAGGCTAAGTTACTAATTATGCAGACCGAAATTAGGTGGACTACAACGAGTATGTTTTCAGTTAAAAAGTTTACCGTAAACATTACGATATATATGCACAATTGAAAGTTAACATTACCGCATTTTCCTATATTAAATCTTTATCAATTATGAATAATTACGTAATTGATTTAAACCTATTTTTATACCACAAGGCTTTTATTTCACTTTTTATATTCCCGTGATAAATTTACAACACTCTATGAATATTTGTTAAGATCAGATGAAATAGAGATATTTACAATAGAGAATGATGGGAAATTATTTCAATAGACAAGATCATAAAATTAAAGCACTATAATGAACAGAACGACAAAATACGAGAATTTGCGTATACTTGTCGTAAAATGTAAACGCTTGACTGCCAAATGTCATATATATGTATGTATATGTATGTATGTGTATGTACTAAAGCCGAGGCATATAAATTTCTAGCAATGTATTATTAATCACACAAATAAGCTTTTTTGAATTTTTACTCTCATCTATTATAATAGTTTATTTGTTAGACGATTTAGAATTTGCGGAGATAAAACAACTATCATTAGTATAGTTTCCATCGTAATATTCAGACCTAAGCTAGTAAGATTAATTAATTTAAAAGCTGATATGACGAAAAAAGTCGTTCATACTTTAGATTGAATATTTTTAAATGTCGTTTAAGCATTTACACTACAAATCTATCATGTGATTTTTAGATGGTAATGCAAGTTCGAAATAATTTTTTTTAGACAAATAGTCTAACAAATTTCATCATTTGCTGGTTTATTAAGTTTATTTAAAAAAAAAAAACATAGATCAATTTGTACGTGTCAACTTTTTTTTAAATACGATATCTGATCAAGTTTTATAAATCAACGATGAAATGATGAGAAATAGATATCAATAATATAAAGATTTTTTTTTAATGAAAGAAAAATCTTTATTTATAAAAGTGATTTATTTTATTTTATTTTATTTTTTTGCAAATGGTAAAAAAAGAAAAAAAAAACACATTGATAAAGTCCTACCCAGCAACATTATACCAAGCGTTTATATGTTATTGAATATCAGTACTAGATTTGATAGTGGTAGATGCAATTACATGTTGCTTACAACAAACGATAAACTTTTCCCCCACAAATGCATCAAGTGAACTATGAATACTAAGGCGAATAGCTGGACTACCATACCCATTATCAACAATCTGTGAATTTTCCAGCGCTTCTGTGAATTCGTGTAAATTATTAAGATTGATTTTACCGGCGGATACGCTTAACTCTTTAGGCTTACAATGAAACAACTGAAACAATCCTAAAATTATTGTTTCTTCCCCATAACTGCTGAACGAGAAATGAAATTGGATCACTCCAGGTTTAAATACATCTGCTACAGCGGGACCTTCAGGGGCTTTTGGTTTTTCGCATGCTCCTGGTTCTTTAGGTCCTCCGGGTGCTTTTGGTTCTCCGCATGTTCCTGGTTCTTTAGGTCCTCCGGGTGCTTTTGGTTCTTCGGATGCTCCTGGTCCTTCAGGTTCACCGAGCGCTTTTGGTACTTCGGATTGGCTCCGGATTCAAACCGAAATTTCGGATTCAGTCGGTTTCGGTTCAATCCCGGATCAAACCGAGT